ATGTGTATATTTATATGGCGGTCAGCGAAATGGTTATGTGGGAAAGGGTAAGGTCTTAAGTTATAGTATAAGTCAATTAGCGAGTAATTAATATTGCGCAAATAAAGCTGATGGTTCAGGCATGAATGTCCATATACACACATATGTGTTTGTATATTTAATTATTTATATATATGCGCGCGCATTTAATGTGAGCTCTATAGTCATAGTTTCATATTGAAGGAAATTATCGATAATCATCCATATGCTACTGACTAATTAATTAAGCCAAATAGGGAAAAATATATAGCTCCCTGGTAGATGATGATGTGGCAAGCCAATTACTTTTGTCTTTTTCAGAGATACTCCTCTAATCATATTTATAAGGCACTTCTAACATATTTAATATAGATTAAGAAAAAATTTAAACTCATTAACTCTTCATTAAAATATAATAACTTTTTAATTTTATCCATATTTAGTATATACACTTTAAAAAAAAATAACTATCTATACTATAATAAATTAGGGACAAAATAACATATCCATATGTTAAAAATATAATGAAATGACTTATATATAGGATCAAACATTTTTCTCTTTCTATCCTATAAATAGGACCAAAGAAGTATATCTTTTCCTTTTCTTTTGCTGCATTCACTCATTATTAATGAATTATTACCAAGTATGATGTAGTAGAAATGAAGATCATCGCTGAATAATTAAAGAACATTTCGTTCGATTTGTAATGCTGTTTTTTTGGGGTAATACGGTTTTTAATAATGTTAAAAACATGGAAGTAAATTTGTTTTATTTACATGTAAGTTACGTTAGTTACTCATTGCGAATAAGAAGTCCCCTCCAATTCCTTCCTAAATACTTATTTGCTTAAAATTCATTCTAGTTTAGATTATACAAATGGCCATTGGATAGAGGTCATCATTCTCAACCTATATAGTCCCCTTAACAATTGCTGGATCTGATAGATACGTGAATAATTAGTAGGAAAGAGAGTTTTGCTATTAATTGTTTCGAGGCTAAATCAATATCAATTTAGTTATTTATGAATGCATACGATGTCATCTATATTAGAGCTCCATTCAGTCTATTTTCGATCTCCTAACTCCTCTCACCCTCTCTCAGCTTTGTGTTCTAATTGGCAAAAGCAGGTTAATTATAGTCTCTACTTTTGGATTGTGATTTAGTGCTCTTGTTCAAATAGTTTGTTCAAAATTGTAATATCAGCCAATCAACTAAAATTGACTTTATAATATTAGTCATTTCAGTAAAATAAATGACTGTATGCATACATTTCATCTCCCTAGTTTACTACTTGGTTGGTTATACGTATATATTCAAATGCATGTATTGATATCTGAGTTTTATTATTATCAACATTTTTTGTCAATAGTACATAACTTAATTAAATTAAAAGAATACACTTTTTACGCATTAAAATATTTCCTTTTTTTCGGGGTTAAAGTCAGACCACTGATGGTCCTACAATAATTCAGCTTTTAAAACAATAGCTAGTACCTTAATTAATTACGATTGTCCTTTGCACTAAGGTTAAAGAACTTGAAAAGGTAATGCTATCTTTCTTCTTTTCTAAGCCCTAATTATACTGGCGCTGCACAGTGAGAGATGGAGGTATGTTTCTGCGTTTATATTTTCTTCTTTTAGAAGCTGGTTTCTTTAGCACATAGCAATTAGAAGATAGGTAATTTGATGAGGTCCACATTAAGCGTTGTTCACAGCTGGTGTGTGTTTATATAAATGTGTATATATAAATATATAAATATATATATATATATATCACATTTTGACCGTTATTACTTAACTCTCGTGCTCTCATATTTTAGAATGCATTATATTTGCTTTTAGGGAACAGCCTCACCTTCCATGCACCTTCTCTGAATCTGTGTCCTTTTGCCTCTTATTTTATTTGCTTACAATTATATATAGCACTATTTTTAGGAGGATCATTGATCCATCCACCATTATGTATCACCATTAGGATGGCTTGAGGAAGTCATTTATATAATTGTTTTGTCAAATCAATAAAGTATATTGTACCCTATAATTTATAATTAATTGTTATCTAGCGCGCTAATCATGATGACTCTATATATAGTCAAAATTAGGACTCAAAAGGCAGTAGGAGTTTAAATTATATCCTCTTAATTTATACATTCCGAGACACATCCACACGGTAGAATGTAACCGTGTGTGAGGTCCACATCATATAATTACACATACATGTTTTGTTTCCCTAGGTTGCCATTAATTTGAATATGCTCTATATATGTAACTGAAACTTTAGTGATATATGCACACAAATATGTGTATCTTCGGTGGGTTCAAAGTTCTAGAAGATGAAACAATATTTGGAACTTGTTTTTTTCTGGCCAAATAAACTTGATATCATATGCTACTCCCAATTCTAATTATAAGACTTCTTTGAATGACAGGCACATTTTATTTGAATCTTATATAATGGGGCGGTGGTTACTGTTGTGACAAGCTGCAGTGCATAGGGTAGGATTTAAAGCACATATAAAGACAGCTGAGTTGATGGAGTGACAATGTTGCCAAGCCTTGAATGAAGTAGGGTAGGATTTAAAGTTGCTCATCACAATTGCAATGATATAATGCTGACTTTGTGCTGGTAAATTAATTTGGTGGTAGGATTGGTATACATAGTGGGAAGCTACGAAATTCTCTCATTCTCATTATATTATGAAATCCAAGGCTTAGCTGTTCCCCTCTCATTCATATTTTTCTTCATTTCGTTTTGATTTACAGGGACAGTCGACTAAGCACTTGCGATTATAGGTAGAATCAGATCTTTGACCTCCTAATTTTTTTGGCTAGGCAGAAGTACTCTTTTATTGAGGCAATTTTGTTTGAAATACTGGGGGATACTAAATGTGAGTAATTTTCTCAGTGATAATTCAAACTTTAATTCATCATATTATATGAGACTATAACCAAATGCTATTGATTCTATGACCTCCTACTTAAAAGAAAATATATACTATTTGGTCCTAAATATAAACTCATTTTATAGTGTCACTAAATTATATTTAGGACTGGGGGAGTATATCACTAAATTATATTTTTAATATATGTGTGTGTGTGTGTTTTAGCGAAGTAGCCTTTGCATTTTTTTTATTGTATTAGGCCTGCAATTTGAGACATAATTTTTGTGTGATACTTCTTTCGGTCCTTAATATAAAAGATAATTGACTAATTTAAGTAGATTAAGAAAATTGGTTAAAATAGTTAGTTATAATAAATAGGTGTTGTCTCTCCTAAAATATCCTTGTTAATCAAACATATTGATTAGAACTATCATTATTACAAGTGTTATCTTAAAAAAATAGACAAATATGAGAGACAAAGTAAATTGAGGTCTTATATTTAGAATCAAAATAAAAATCAAACGAGCTCTTAAATTAAAAATCGGAAGTAATATATTGGATCACAAACAGCTGGCCTTAATGTATTTTCTCCTTTGATACAAAGTAAGAAGTGCTCATATATGTAGATTTCCTCAGCTAGCTCCTTCTTGAAGAAGAATCTGATAGATCCGACTAGCATTTTCACAAGTTTTATTCCTTGGCCGGCCTCAAAATTTCAAGGCAATTAAACTTCAACTTCCTTGCATCAAGCCTTTGCTCCCACCCTCCATCCCCTCTAAGTTTCCATCTTTCTTAATTCTTAGGATCCGAGGCTAAGCTTTTCTTCGTTTGCCATAAATAAATTGCTATATATCACTTTTAGTTCTCTCGTGCATGATTATGTTATTGACTTTTTGAAAGTTTACAGGGAGCATGTACTGCCTGTTTTAAAGTATAAATCATGGGGTAGGTCTTCAACAATCCCACTCGATTCAGACTTTATCCCTCTCTTAAAGATATTAGTAGTTGTATTTTCTATTATTTTTTTATTTAAAGATATAAAATATATATTTTTACTTATAAAATTGTTTTAATGATAGTTAAGGTCCCGAAAAAAATTTCTAAAAAGAGTTACAAATATTGATTTAAACAGCTGCAAATTTATGAGTCACATTTGGAACTTAAATGTCTTATTTGGAATTGAAATTCTTAAATTTATAATTGATTTAATCAACACTTGTAGCTTATTTTCGAGAATTTTTTTTTGGGAAAACCTATTATTAATTCACTCATTTATATCTTAACTTTCATTCTCCTCATAATATACTCCCTCCAGTCCTATTTATAAGTTTTAAATTTAAAAAGAGGTATAATTTATTTTATAAGTTTTAATTTTAATTTGTCTTAACATTTAGTGCATTTTTTTCTAATATTGCCCTTAATTATTTCTCTCTTATCATATTTTCCCACACATTCTCCTTGATCCTTTTTCTTATTTATTATAAAGGCATATTTGGAAATAAAAGTCTATTTCTAAACAATTTATTTTTTAAAAATAATTTTAACTAGTTATTTTTTAATTATAAATTAGTTATTTGAGACTTATAATAAGAATCGGAATAGAGTAATATATAAAAAAGAACTCTCCCAAACCAACCGGTTTAAGCATATTGGGCCTAAAATGGCTAAGCCATATTTCGGCCCTGAAACACCAAGGTCACATGCTTGGTCCGTACTGAATCTGACCTGACAAAACTCCAAGAAGAATCCTGAGGCCCAAAACAAGCCAGATGAATCCCGTATCATATATTTTTGTGTGTGTGTGTGTGTGTGTGTGTGTGTGTGGAGATTTATTGGACCTCAATAAGCCCATCAGGCCCAAATCCAGTAGGATCCGAAGATAGACGTGGCGGGAGCGCGTGCTCTTCCCATGCTCTGACTTGGACTTCGTGGTCCTCTTCCGTCGGCGACGCCGAGGCATGACTGCATGCACTGGGAACGGCCATGGATTATGATTCGTGCCTACAATCTTCGTTGAGAAACAATCACAACAACAATAAATTCATAAACCCTAAATTTCTGCAAATGACAGTGATAGTGATCAGGTAAGGGGAAAAAATGGATCCTTCTTTATCATCTGCGACTCATTCCCCCACACTGTCTTCTCCATCTTCTCCGTCTTCGTCCCCAAAGTCCTGGTTCTCAGGAATGGTTCGCAGCCGTTCGAATAAGTCAGGTGGCTCTAGAATGGGTGCTGATTCCGTCACCGTCGTTACAGGTGACTGCCGAAGCGCCGTCGTCCGAAAACATCAATTCCAAGGGGTTTTATTCAAGTATGGTCCAAATGCTATTCAGGTTCGTCAAACTTTCTAATTTTTTTTCCCCCTAGTGAATTGAATAGCGAAGCTCCCACCCATTTTCCTGATTTATTTCATCTGGTCACTATATTTTAATCTGATCATCTTTACGCATCACGCTTAAGAATTTGGATGGCTCATCTCCTTGTTCTCTCACGGATCATAGCATTTTAGTCATTTTCCATCATTTATATGCGCCCGAACCATTTTTCCCCCCTGACCTAAAGATTGATTTCTTAGACAAATTTAGGTATCAATGGGCAGTTAAAATTTTTAACGAGGGTTTTTTCAACAATTATTTTTGTAAAAATTGTACTCATAATGAATGAGATTTTCTTAAAAAAATAAATTACAGTATTTTGTTTTACTACCTTTGGTTCTTAATACAAGAGCTAATTTGATATTTAATTTGGTTCTAAATATAAAATCCTAATATATTTTGTTTCTCATATTGTGTATGTTAAATGTTTCATTAAATAATAGTTCTAACTAATATAAATAATTAGTAGGAATATTTTAGGAATGACAATAACTATTTATTACAAATAAATAACTCAATTAATTTCTTTAATATATTCAAATTAGTCAACTAATTCTTATATTAAAAATTGAACGTAGTATTATATTTTTGCATAAATGAAGAGGGAATAAATAATGAATGAAATTTTAAATTTTTTATTTTTTCAAATATTTTATATTCATTAATAGTGAAATTATTATAAATTTATCGTCATTTAAAAAAAGAAGAATCTTGAAGGGTATGTTTGAAAACTAATGGAATAAAATTCATGTGTTGGTGAACTCAAAATTACGTCGTATTTGATATCACGACTTGCCATGTCATATTATATATAGGGTTTGTTTAAATCAGTGATTGAAAAAATAATTTATTTTCAATTTAACTTTTATAAGAGTTAGATTAAGTAAAAATTAAATTGGATGATGTAATTTATGTTTGGATTAAATTTTGTAAAAACTAATTTGTAAAAGTTAGTTTGGGTAAAAAGTTGTTTAGATTATGATTAAATAAAAATAAGTTTAGTTTGTAAAATTACTTAAATGGGTATTAATTTTATTAAATAATAAAAAAGATAAAAAATGAATTTACATAATATAATGGATTTAAATTATTTTAATATGAAGAAGTGAAATTGAATAACTGAAATATTTTAAAACATTAGAGATATCATTTTTTTTTATAAATATAAAGTTAAATATAATTTTAAAAAATTCAAAATTATTTATGCATATATGCCTACACAAGCTTACGATATGAGCAAAGAGAGTGAGAGAAAAGCATGAGGAAAAATGAGGAAGAAGAAAAGAGAGAGAATAATAAATGATTCCACCAACTCATAGAAGCTTCTTAAAAACATGATTACATAAAAGCCATATGTAGAGAGGAAAAGCTTTTAAAAAAAGTAAGACTGAAACCAACTTTTCGTCATAAGTTAAATGGGTAAAAAGCTTTTCTAAACACCAAACTAAGATCCCAAATGTACTTAAAGTTATAAAAGCTACTTATTCTGGATTCAATCACTGACCCAAACAGGCTGATAAGCAGCATAAATGCATAATGAACACCATGGCATAACCATACGGCATCGCTTATCACGGTACATTAGATGCCATAATATCAGACAATGGTAAATTTGTTTAACTAGTTTAAGAATACATACATGCTTGGCATAAAATGTTAGAAGTTTGTTAACAGGGAAAGTGTACAAACGTTCGAGTGTTAACATTTTTGTAGTAATATGAGATTTTTGCTTCTTTCGTTTTGGTATGGTTTTATACTTGAGCAAAAGCATTTGTATAAGAGAGCTCGAAACCTTGTTTGTTAAGGATCATCATCGATCATCGCCTGTTTTACATGCGTGTTTGCATTTTTCATTCTGGATGTGCCGCATTCTCATTGTTTGGTTGATTTCGCAGGTCGCATTTAGGACTGGTGAACACAAACGTCAAGTCATATTTATTGGCGGATTAGCCAATGGCTTTCTTGCTACTGCGTAGGTTTGATATTATCCAATTTCTCCATCGAGCCAGCGCTATTTATTCCCTAGAGATTATATTCTCTTGAAGAAAATGAGTTTAGATCTTCTCCGTTACTACTACTACCTTCAATTCTTAATACCAGGCTTAGTTAAATAATTTGATAAGATTAAAAAAGTTATTAAATTATTTTAAAGTATTTATATTTATCATTTTTTTCCAAATTAATTTGCCTTATTTATAAATTAACATATAATCTGATGATACATATAAATATCTTAGAAAAATCATATAACACATGTTATAATTAAGTAATTTTATTAATCTTTTTAAATTAGTTAACTAAATCTTATATTAAAAGTTCAAAAATGATATTTGACTAACAACCTCTTCAATCAATTGGCAGGAGAGCACCACTGGCCGTTTGGCCGAGTGGTATGTGTGTGTGTGGGGTGTGTGTTGTGGGTTCGATCCTGCCCCTTGTAACAAAAAAAAAAAAGGCATGAGAGCCATTATTTTCCAATTTTAATTTTATCGGATATCCTCAACGGACATCCATTTTCTCAACTTCCTAGTTCGTGCAGATATTTGGAGCCTCTGGCAATGGCTCTGGACGCTGAAAATTGGTCGCTTGTTCAGTTTCTCATGTCATCTTCATATGGCGGATACGGCACCTCCAGCTTGCAACAAGTAAACATTTAAATCTGTATCCACTCCGTTTGTCTTATAATATAGTGTTGGGACACTAAACTAAGAATGTTGAAGTAGTAATGTTAAACATCTCAATATCACGTAAGTGGTATAGGCTCTCATCACTTAAGCAAGTGGCTAGGAATTCAAATCTTAGCCCTTGCATATGTAGCAAATATCTTAGTTGCGAGGAATCTGCCTTTTGTTCTTAGTGGCCGGAGCAGATAGTCGGCATCATCTACCCCTTGTGCTCACTTTAAAAAGAAAAAAAGTAATGAAGTAATGTTGAAGTGCTATCTCTTGAACTTTGATGACTGGGTTCTGATATTTCATGTTGAATTCATGTGGAAGGATGCCAAGGAGTTGGATCTGCTAATTAATTATTTAATTGACAAAGAGGATTCTGAAGGCGTGATACTGCTTGGACATAGCACTGGCTGTCAGGTCATTGATTATTGCTTTTAAATCCTGAACCATGCTCTGTTCCACTTTCTTACCAGCAAGTGAATTGATCTTTCGTATTGTTTGAACATATCTAGGATATTATTCATTACATGAGTACAAATGCTGCATGCACCCGTGCTGTTCGTGCCGCTATCTTTCAGGTATTCGCTTGCTAATGGCCTTAGTAATTGTGCTCTTGGTTTGGCCATCCAGGTTTCTAATTAATTCACATGCGTATATACATGTGGTTGAGTTGCTACCGATGTAATTACAGGTTATACAGTAGTTTTAAAGCTTATTTTGTTCCGTGGCAATTCCATGCTATTCCTTCTGGTATCTCACTGAAAGCTTTCGCTGCCACACCATTTAAACCCTCAGGCTCCAGTCAGTGACAGGGAATTTCAATCTACGCTCCCTCATACTGCTTCTATGGCTGAATTGGCTGCTAAAATGATAAGTGAAGGCCGAAGTTCAGAGTTCATGCCAAGGGATGCAGATCCTAATGGCCCAATAACTGCCTACAGGTCAGTTAAATTGAACTGAATTATAACTGGGCTAATCAGCTGCATGGTTTCTGCATTCATTCTCTAAAGCAGTCCCTCTTCTTTCTTCCTCATCCTCCCCTCGATTAATTTCTCTTGTTTCATACTTACACGCTGCAAAATAACCTTTGGAAAACATTAACTGATTAAGGTCAGAATATTGTCATGTTATCAGTCCATTTCCGAAGAAACCTTTTTTTTAATTTTGCAGGTATAACTCCCTTTGTTCATATAATGGAGATGATGATTTGTTCAGCTCTGACCTGAGTGATGAGCAGTTGAAGACGAGACTTGGGCACATGTCTTGCACGCAGTGCCAGGCAAGGATATCTCGTTGACTATTAATATATATGACTCATGTTCTCGTCCTCGTTTTGATATCTGTCGTTTCTCTTTGCAGGTTATATTTTCAATGTCGGATGAACATGTGCCAGACTACATTGATAAGAAATTACTGACGGACAGGTAAAACATATACTCCCACGGGGAGCCAATTTTGAAGATTAGTTTTTTTTCCCCCTCCCCTCGGCTTGTTGCAATCAACTTTGCTGGCTGAAAGAAGATGCAGATTATGCAGGGCAATGGGAGGAGCAGAGAAAGTGGAGATTGAGAATGGGACTCACTCGCTGTCTAATAGAGTTGAAGAAGTTGCCAATGTCATTATTGACTTCATCAAGAGGGAGGGACCTAAAGGCTGGGACGATCCATGGACATAATAATCTTGTTGATTTTTCAATCCCGAACGTGTCTGAGAAGTAAATCCATTTTGATTTGTTTTTTAAACAAGAGCTTAGGTGACCAAACCAACCTAGTCGGCTCATATTTACTTGGTTAGTCCTGAACTAAAAAGGAGACACATAACATGAGTTGTTGTGGAGGAACCTGACTTTTTCTTAGTATTGGCGTCAGAAACAAGGTTGGGGTAAGGTGAGTGGTTATGTGGTGGAGTTGGTAACCACTGAGCAGCCTGATTTCCACCATGTTATTACCCTTTATGAGCGCACCCTTTTTTTGGGTGGGGGTTGTGTGTGTTTTGTACCAAAAAAAAAAGATGAAATATTTACGTAAACATTAGAAACTAAGAGAAATAAACAGAACTACATTTTTTAATTAAATTCAGCGTGACATCGTTGGAGTGATAATGGATTTGTTGATTTACAATATAACCAAACGTTTTATTTTAAGTATATTTAAACAAGGGCATTTGGGACTGGGTGGCGGTGCCCCTTCCACCTCTTGATGATCGTAAATGAAGTTAGAGATATTTGGAGGAATGAATATTTTTTGAACAATGGGAGTTTCAAGGAGCATGTGATCTGTGCATGTGCCGGCGCAGACCCTCTGTCCCATCCCATGCCCACCTGCTCTCCAATAAAAATGCTATCCCACCTGCTTTGGGCCTTTTTTCTTTTTTTTTTTCGCTGGAGGCTGAGGTTACCCGTGCAATTCTAAAAATCAGATAGTGTCATTGACTCTCCCGCGAATAACAACTGGTCGGAATCAAGCCTAATGAAACAAATTAGTCCTCACGACATAATAAATTAAGATTAAAATATTTATTAGAAGAGATTTTCACATTTTAAATAGGATTGCTTTGAATAAGAATTTAATTGTGCCTAGCAATAAAACAATGTCAAAACAGAAAACATTTTATGCTTGAGCCGGAGACATTTTAGGCCTGCTGTGTTGAAACATATTTTCACTTTAATCACACAAATCTCGAGAAAAATTTCAGGATTATATGGACGCAAGATATCCTTAGTTTCGTTGTTATGGCCGTCAATGACATTTTTTCCCTTGTAAAAACTTAATTATTCAGTAAACAAACCCTTCGGTTTCTACATGTTGTTTGTTTTTTTTTTTAATTTAAAATAAAATAAGAAGACATCAAGGAATGCATGTGAATACTGATTTGATGAAGCTGGCAACGTGCGAGTAATGTGAGTTGTCCCCCCATAATATCATCCCTAATATGAATATTAGTGCCTCATTCACATCACATGAATCCTTAATATGCCCTATAATCCCCCTCAATCCTCTCCTCACACCCTTCCCACTTCCTCATTCCGATTCATTAGTTAGCCACCCAAACCAGCACTCTGTTATTCTTCATTCCTAGCTGTATACATCAGTCAACACGGGACTCTTTCCAACACATATAATTACAAAATGATTCATTTTTATTAATTATTATCATTCCATTGTATTAGCATTGTGGTCGCCCCCTTGTGCTTCTATTCATATAACAGTCTTCACATTTTTTTGTCTACATTCAAAAATATTATGATTTTTTTGGCACCGTCGACATTCAACAGCATTAAAAAAAAAAAAAAGACTTTTGTTTTTTGTATACATTGAACGACATTAAAAAAAACGTCTTCTTAGATAATCCGATCAAATTTCCAACTTATAGAAACGTATAAAAATTAATCACAAATCTCACGGTAAAAGCCTGTTTACTCTTATTATTATTGCTTGAAAAATCGTTTATAAAACAAATGATAAACAGCGCTATCTTATTTTTCAAAAAAGGAACTGATAATCACCATAAGGGCATGGAAATTGGAAATTGAAAAAAAAATTAAGTAACCTGAGTTTTATATCACATTAAAAAACAAGATGCATTATTTATGAAAGATAAATGATATAGTCGGTAAAATTTTATAATATTGATTATTATGATAATAAAAGTAAAGATCAACTATCAAAAAGATACTACCTCCGGTTGTAATTATAAGAGCCAGTTGACTAATTTGAGGAGATTAAGGAAGTAAGTTGAATTAGTTATTTGTTCTAAATAGATGTTATCTTTCCTAAAATATCCTTATTAATCAAGTATATTAACTAGAACTATAATTATTAGAAGGACTATCTTGGAAAAAATTGAATAAATATGAGAGACAAAGTGGATTGGGGTCTTATATTTAGAATCAAAATAAAAGTCAAATAGAGTCTTATTAAGGACCGGAGGTAGTAATAAACAGAAAAAATGCCAATAAATCTAGAGTAAAGCGATAGCTGAAATCAAAGCTTTTTTTTCCAAACCAAAAAAATAAAAAAGTCAAACGGTGTCATTATCGCTAATTTTCCTTTTAAAAAAAAGGTCGTTGTCACTCTAGAGTAACGGCGTTTTTTTTTTTTTTAAAAGGAAAAAGAAGAAGAAGTCATTATCACTAATTTTTAAACTTTGAAGTTCCGAAACTCCAACGATATCAAAGCAGGAGAAGGCCTTCCGCCCTTGCCATTCCAATTTGACGCTCAAGGACTCGCCTCTGCTCACTGGAAACCTTCCACGGGGATATCCGCTTTTTTGCATATTCTATTCTATGTACTACTTCTGCATTTTACCTTCTTCAACCCCTTTCACCTCTGAAGCACCACCGACATCAGAAAACACCCTGTCAATATTCCTGCGCAATTGTTTTCTCCTCCTCCTCCTCCTTCTTTATATTATACAATTCTTTCTCTTCGAGAAAATCGACGTTTGTTCCTTTTATTGAGACTCTTCCTTGTGTTGTCCACCCCAAGGAAGAAGAAGAAGAAGAAGCAGCTTTACGGTGTCAGATTTCGTTTCTGCTATTTGGGGCGTCGTTATTCGTCTTCTTTCTTGCTTTTCAGCGGTAGCAGGTGTGGTGTGGGCCGTTTCTAATGTCAGTGAAGGTGGCGATTTCGAAGGCGGCCAATCAATGGCATCCCGCTTTCTCTCCTATCCTCCATTGGCGTTTTGGGTTGCTCACAGCTTTGGTTCTCGTTGGAATGGTCGTGGTATGGAGTGTTGATGCCTGCACTATTAAGAACTTTATTCAAGCTTGGAGGTCTCGTCAAGATTTGCCCTTCGTGACTGCTAAGAACACTTATAGGGATTCCGGAAAACTATACCATATCCCTAAAAGGCCTGTAGTTAGGGGACATTCAAGTTGGATTGCTAGTGAACTTGAACCCAACTTGACTTCTAATCTTCTTGCCCGATGGTCAGCTCGTGGAAGAGAGCCTTGCGAAGATTCGAAGACAGTAGAAATTGCAATTCCTAGTCTGGATGACGGGAAAGTAACAGAGCTTTTGGCTGGGGATGTTTATGAGTTTGTCTTTCAAGCAATGGATGATTCTGGAAAACCTCGGTGTTCAGGTGGGGACTACTTCGAGACTGATCTGTTAGGCGAATCTTGGAAATCTCGACCTTTGGTGAAGGATTTCAACAATGGTTCCTACTCTATTTCACTTCAAGTTCATCCAGATTTTGATGGGGTTTACGATCTCACTATAATCCTCCTTTACAGACACTTTGAAGGCCTTAAAATGACCCCATGGAGATTTGCTTATGATCGAGTGCTTCGCAAGATTGCTATCAGATTCCACAGAAGCAGTGTTCAATTACCAGAGCTGCATGCTTGCAAAGAATCAGACTTTACTAGGGATGTCTGGATTGGAAGGTGGACGAGGCACGCCAAAAATGATGACTGCGAAATAAGTAATGATGGTAGGTATCGATGCCTAGCACCGGATTTTCCTTGCAGAGCTCCATGGTGTAATGGTTCTTTGGGAACTCTGGAGAGCAATGGTTGGGTGTACTCAGCACACTGCTCGTTCAAAATGTTTTCAGCTGATTCTGCTTGGAATTGCTTGAATAATCGGTGGATTTTCTTCTGGGGCGATTCAAATCACGTTGACACTATACGCAATTTGCTCAATTTCATTCTTGATTTGCCTCAGATACATTCTGTCCCCAGGAGATTTGATATGAACTTTTCAAACCCAAAAGACCAGTCTCAAACAGTTAGGATTACAAGCATCTTCAATGGCCATTGGAATGAGACACAAAACTATCTAGGACTGGAATCCCTGCGAGAGGAAGGGTTTCAGAATTTGCTAAGGAAGTACTTCTCTGAAGATACAGTCCCAGACACCATGATCATGAACTCTGGCTTGCACGATGGTGCTCATTCTCGCACTGTAAGAGCATTTTCTTTTGAAGCAGAAAACGCAGCCTCGTTCTGGGCAGATGTTATGAAGCAAGTGAGGCAGAGAGGTTTGGCATGGCCAAAGGTCTTTTACAGGGCCACAGTTGCAACTGGTGGACGTGCAAGAACACAAGTATTCAATCCTAACAAGATGGAAGTGTTCAATCATATATTCTTGGAGAAGCTGAAGCAAGCTGGGGTTGTCTCTGGCGTGATTGATAACTTTGACATCACATTTCCTTGGCATTATAATAATCGGTACAGTGATGGGGTTCACTATGGAAGGCCTCCGGCGAAGATGAAGTGGCGAGATGGTCTCATAGGGCATCATTATTTTGTGGACCTCATGTTAGCTCATGTTCTGCTTAATGCTATGTGTGCAAGATAAGCATGAAGGTTCGAGTCATAAGAGATGGCCATTTCTTATTCTTGCCCTACGAGTATAGATCCTTATAATTAATTAGGCTTGGCATTCTTTTTTGTTCATAGTCTTGTCCGCAAAATTTCTTCACACATACGGTTGTTGCACTTGTAGATTAGCAGAGGATTTTGATCCTTATTTATATTTATGATCAATGAAGTTCAAAGGTTATTCTTTATTTGCACTATGCACTTTGCATTTAGCAAATCTCTTACCGGTTGAAAACCAATAAGCTTAGAAGCTGAAGTATTTGACACCATGTACAGAAGGCTTGTGGTTGATTACTTAGGTTGGGGAGATAAGTTAGTTATTTTCTGTTGTTGGTGGCATTGGGATTGCGTCAGAACACAATGCGTGTACGAGTTATCTGTCCCTTTCAAACCGTTGCTTCAAACAACCAAATTATTAAGGTTTAGTGTTGAAACTAGTGAGTAAAAGTGAAAATTTAAACTCTAACCTGCCTGGTAGATTCAACTTAACTGAGGTCCTTTTTGAAGTTTCTGGTAAGAATTCTATGTGCCCTTTGATTAAACTGTTGGTGAATAAGGCAGTAACTGGACTAAAAAAACTACTGCTGCTACCAGAAAAACCGCCATTGATTTATGATAATTGCTAAAAAAACTATGTAACGACGAATGATTATCCAAAAAAAAAAAAAAAATAGAGGCAGCCGTCTTTACAATTTGGCATGAATCTTCTTTTTGCTATCGTTCTACATTTCCTCGTTATAAAGGTAAACTTTCAAGCCACTCCATGGGATGTCATTGACAGCTTCAGAGACGCCTGAAATCTTGTAGGTTCCTTAAAGTTTCATCCACACAAATCCTTAACCAGTTCCCAATTTTTTTGGACACCGTGGTCACTGGTCAAGGAAAATTAGTATTATTTTCGGTTCTTAAGATAAAAGCTTGTTTGACTTTTATTTTGATCATAATTATTTATTTTTTTAAAAATAGTCCTTGTAGTAGTTGCACAAGTTAAACATTTTATCAAATGATAATTCTAATTAATACATGCCACTAACAATGATATTCTAAGTTCGGTAGGAAAAAAAACAATGATATTCTAAAGAAGATAACATTTATTCATTATAAATAACTAACTTAACTAATTTCTTTAATCTACTCTTTATAATTTAAGATAAGCATGCATAAAAAATAGTACCAAAAAAGTTTGAGAATTAGACTTGGTAACAAATACAAAGAGTTACTTCAAACAGATTTTATAAATTACAGGCAAATATAGAGGATAAGTTTTTTCCAAAAGAATTATAAAAATTATTCTAACAGTTTGTTAAGATTTTTATTGAAGTAAGATTATATCCGAATCTTGCCACTTTCAATATAAAACTTTAATTTAAACTTAAATTACCGTTACATTATAGTAGTAGTATAATATTATCTCATAACACAGAGGATATAGCAATTTTGTTTTGGCCAAAAGTAGATAGCAATTAAAATTGGAAAACAAAAAACTTCTTTGGTTATGTGTCATTCTCATCGTCTCAATTAGGCTATATTAGTAATAATTCATGAAAAAAAAATGAAGAAGAACATCTTTAAGAAAATACTATGCTTTATTATTTTATAAAAATTATTCTTATTGTCAGTACGTGTTAAAGGAGTTGAACACGGCGCAGTGGCTAATTTTTCCTTTTCACAAACAATGATAATAAGATTAATAATGATGATGATGATGATAATATCCAGCCTGGCCAGCCCCAACGATAACTACATGAGACGAGGCATGCCGGTCAAGATCAACCGACGTTAGTGATAACATTTATTTTTGTCGCTGGGGAAAAAGGGGGAGGAAGAGTTAGAAGGGTAGATAGGTTGAAATAATAAATTTAATGATGAAGTTTGGAGCGAAATGTAAATTAGCCAAAAGAAGGTGCGAGCGCATTCTCCCACGCAAACAGATAAAAGGAAGCGGGATATAAGTTACGCAGAGGAGGATCTGACTCCGTTTGATGGGCTAAAAGCACGCTGCATTTGGTTAAACGATCAACCTACAAATCTGGCTAACCTTGGGGGATTCAATTTGAGGGCTCGCTTATCCCTTAAGCAACCATCTTGTGACTTCAACGACGACGAAGAGGAGTGTAGGCCTTGGCGTCGCAGGCTTACCATGGCTTTCACCTGGGGCTCTGCTCTCAGGATTACTCTTTTGCTTCTCCTTCTCGCCGCTATTATTCTAGCTTGTTTTACTCTCCCCATTGAAAGGGTACGTTGAATTTCACTTCTCGGTTGCTCAGATTTTTTTTCTTGATCCCATCTTCCGAAATTTCCATTCACTTTCAATGGGTCGGACATATTTTTGTTAAAATGATTGATTATCTTGTAAACGCAGGTAGATCTCTGATTGCTTAATTTTTTTCTCTCTTTGCTAGCTTCGTGGATCCATTCCCTAATGGACATGGGGTTTGTTTATATCCGTTAAATCAAATGAGCGTCTCACGAATCTGATGCGCTTAGTTGAAATTTTCCTTCGGTCACATTTGCATACAGATGCGGGAATTTTATTTGATGGAAAATGTTGGTGGCACTTGTCCTATTTCATCATTATAACAGTGGGAAAAATATAGAGAAGCCAGATTTTCTAAATGAAGTTTCTTCTATCAAATGGTTTCAATTTTCTATGTAATGTACATTTGGATTTGCTTCCCTGAGCAATTGCCCAAGCATCCTGCTTACAGAGTGCCTTTTAACAACCGGACATTTATGATCTGCAGATACTAAAGAACTTCTTACTATGGGTTCATGAAGATCTTGGCCCCTGGGGTCCACTTGTCCTGTAAGTCAATTCTAGTTTTTTACCGCTTTGATCTCCAATTTTCCGTATAGTAACTGTCTTTCTGGGATACTTACAATTTCCACTATTGTTGATTCCTTTTAATTTTGGAAATATCTAGTTGGTTGCCTTTATTTATTTTTAATTTCATGACCTGGTAATGTAATTTCTGAAAAACACATATGGGAGTTAGTAGCAAGATATTTGGAAATAAAATTCTGGTTCTGTTTAGGGGAGACTTTATTTGGTCAGCTTCAGAGGAGATTGTCTCTGTGCTTTCGTAGTCTTGCAAATCTTGTCTTATTCACGATGCAACGGAAAATAATTTGAGCAAGCCACACCATTTATGACCTATGAATGTGACTCTTTTTTAAACTCTGCAACGCACAGGAGCTACACTAATTTTTCAAATATAAGCTGGCCTTTCTAGAAAATTGCTCTTGTCCTAAGTTATTATGTGGGCAATGATTGATTCAATGCATGAATTTTTGCACTCATGGTTATTTGATACTCTTCAGGGCTGTTGCTTACATTCCTTTGACAGTCTTGGCAGTTCCAGCTTCAGTACTTACTGTAAGAATCATTAATACCCTAACATTATTACTGCGCTGATAGTTGGTTTCTAAAAGCACTTTTCAAGTATTTGTAATCATCACTCTTTGGATTTGTAGATATTCAAGCTAATGTTATTATAGGTCATCATGATATTTTTGAAACTTATGTGGTCTTGATTACATTGTTGTGTTATACCATTGTTACATCTTATTGCAAAATTATACTTTGTTCATTTTTTCTCAAGTGGCTGACTCTAAATCTTTTGACTCTGAGTATCTAATATTGGAATTTGGGGTGATTAATGCTAAAAATATTGATACTCTACTTTCAGCTTGGTGGAGGTTACCTTTTTGGGCTTCCAGTGGGCTTTGTTGCAGATTCTATCGGCGCAACTGTTGGGGCAGGAGCTGCATTTCTTCTTGGCAGAACAGTAAGTTCCTCAATTCTTGCGTATATCCATGGCTGTCAACATAAAAATCATCTTTGGTCGACTGCTGGCCACTAATTAGCTAAATTATGTTAGGTTTTTCTTGATTTGTATAAGATGCTTTTTCTTCTATACATGTTCATTGGCTTTTCCTTAGCCTTCTAGTTGGGTTGCGATTCAGTCTATGATTATGGTATCTTTGTGTCTTCCCCTTGTCATATTATTGTTAATACATGCAGATTGGAAAATCATTTGTTATTTCAAAGTTGAAGGATTATCCACAGTTCAGATCAGTTGCAATTGCAATCCAAAGATCTGGGTTTAAGGTATGTGCCCTTCGTACTGGTAATGCTATTTTAAAATTTCTTGAATCTTTTAATGTACCTTTCGAGTGTTCCACTTTTGCCATATTTTTCCAAGTCCAGTTTTGTTTACAAACTAGTAGCTCAGTGTTGAGCGTGTGGTCATGAAACTATTTTTCTAGTAACATGCCTATCATTTTATTATAATTTCTAACATACTCTTCATGTGAAAACCCTTTGAACTTGAACCATGGACGTAGCACAAACTCACCATATGCATGATGAAATATAATTTTATCTGTGAAGAACTACATGACTATAGAAGCTCTTATACTGTGTCAAGAACTGCTTCGCTTGAACTTTCAAGTGAAGGCTGAACTGTTTTACCTTGTTCTCTAACTATGCTTGTAACATATTAAAGTATTCTTGTTTGATTGTTATTTAAAAGAAATCGAGAAAGCTCCTCTCTAACCATAATTTATTACTAATATCCTAGATGGTGCTTCCTTTTTCAAATTTTCAGCTTGATATCTTGAACTTATTTTGGCTTTCCTAATGTCTATACAGATTGTTGTGCTGCTTCGGCTCGTTCCATTACTGCCATTTAACATGCTAAATTACCTTCTGTCTGTCACTCCTGTTTCGTTAGGGGAATACATGCTGGCTTCTTGGATAGGAATGATGGTACTTTCTTCCTCTTTTGATCAATTAATGTCCGGGGCTTGGTCCAAGTCCAACTATAAGTCCCTGTTGTCATGCTTTAAAATCCTCAAAACTGTCTTGTGATTTTCTGATTTATTGTTATTAGTTTCATTGCATGCTAGAAATGGCTATCTATATGGAGTTATTATGGATTAGATTGATGAGAAACTGTTTAACACCTCTAGAAAAGGCTATCTGAATTTCAAAGAAAAATTTGGTCCAGTAATTGTCTTTACCGTATTGAACCTGGAGACCTCATAATTATGTGTGGGTGTTGTGTGGATGTGCACAAATTAATATGCTATTTTTCGCTGCATACATCTTGGGTAGAGAAATGGGCGTTGAAATAAAGTCTTTACATTTGCTACTGTTATGTTTGAGGTTTGTAAGCACCTCTACATGATCATCTGCCTCACTTCTGACTATGAAATCAGGTTTTGGGAAGTGCATATGTTGGTGTAATTACTTAGTTAAATCTGCCTTCCCCTTAGTGAATAAATCCATAAGCTACAAATTGAAATCCCATCAGAGGTTTCCAATAATTCATGCCATTACCAACTGATGAAGTACTCTTGTATCATTTGAATTTCAACTAAAGTCATTTTGTTGCTGCTCACTAAATGGTATTGCAGTTACAATGTTGTGTTGATTCCTTCATTATCATTATTATTGCAGCCAATTACACTGGCACTTGTGTATGTTGGAACAACTCTCAAAGACATTTCTGATGTGACGCATGGTTGGGGCGAGTTCTCAAAGACTCGTTGGGTAAGAGATGACATAACTAGCATTTCTGATTTTTTTTGCCTTCTGGTAGCCCGTCAGCTTTACTCTCTTTTGTAGTTCTTTATGCTTCATTTTGCTTTTGTTTATTCACATCTAAGATGCTTTGAATGGTGATTTCTGAACTGGAACAGTAGGTTCCAATCTTTTTTTTTTTTTTCCAGTAAATATAACTTGTCTTTCTTCATCTTGTGGATGCAGGCATTTATCTTTCTTGGCCTTGTAATATCTGGTAAGTTGCATTGTTTTCACACGTAATACACATCTCATGAAAACAAATTTGGCGGACAAAATGTTTGGTTTATGGGAAGCTGTTCGGTCAGAAGGTGTTTGCCTATCTGACTTGTAGTGCGGAATATGAATTTCTAATGTACTTATAGAGTAACCGCACTGGGTAGCATGCAACATGGAACGTTGGCCCTGCAGCCCGTTATTATATCCTTGAATCCTGAATTCACACTCACACCCCACCCTAGTCACTTGAACTCAGTTGGCATGTAATGCACGACATTTATGCTGCATTTTACTCACAGGATATATCGGAAATAAGTAGGACTCTAAAATTATTTAAAATGTTGTGTCTTATGCATAAGATAAATGTGAAGACTGACGAGTTATAATTTGGTGTGAAGTTTTTTATTTACACAATTTTTTTAAATTTAAAAATTCTTGTTATTTTCAGTTATTCAGTTTTGTTGAGCATTTAGTGCACGGACTGTTGTGCACCATAAGTAATTGTGGAGTAAGTGGTGTCTATAGTTAATTTGATAATTAAGGAGTTTTGAGCATAGGTTGAACTGCAAGCATATGGTAAGATCATGAACTGTGGAGGCTGAAAGCTGAGTTAATTTGGTTTATTGTGCAGTGGTGCTGATGATATGTGTTATGAGAGTTGCCAAGTCTGCGTTAGATAAAGCATTGGCTGAAAACGAAGATATAGAAGGTATTACAGGTTCAGTGTTACCAGTTGTTTCAGATTCTCCGGTGGATCTTCACCAGTTGTTTCAGATTCTCCGGTGGATCTTCACCAGCCCCTCATGATCAGGGTAGAACCTCCTGAAGAAGACAAACATGAAAAGTAAAACCCCTTCGCTCTGTAAATTCTTTCCCTTCCTTCTTAAAGCTTATGCTTTCTATATTGACGTGTAAGCTGTAGCTGCTTGCTCCCACTTATTTGTGATTTGTACAGTGTTAACGAGGATTAGGATCTTTAGTTTTGCAGTGATGGCTAATCCTACAATCACAGTCATATTATTGAATTGGTAGCTTGTATCTTGACGGCAGAGAAGTTCATGTGAACGATTTGAGTCTTCCTTTTTTGGCCCAACAATTTGAGTCTTTCTATGACTCCATTCTATGTTTCTCCCACCCTGGAGTCTATTTTGATGTTGCTATTCCAATTTCAATCGTCTCCGACATTCGTTGGGATGTCTGGCAACTGAGATTACGTCCTCGGAAAAATTAAAACTACCGTAATTTGAACTCAATTTTTAAAAATTTTTAGGGTTTTTTATGGTTGTCGGGTTATTCAAAAATCGCTTCGCCTTAGATGAAAATGTCGGAAATTCTAATTTAGAGCAGTCGGAGGTGCTCTTGACTTTGAAAAATAATATCATTTAAATTAAATTAGTGAGGAACCATTGGAATTATAAACGACGAACAAATTTGTACAATGGGGTGGGTCACGCATGTTGCTAATTTCCCGGAAAAAAGGAAGCGGCTGTTTTGTAATTGTCAAGCTTGATTATTTTAAAATGATGGGGCCATGGGGTCGTAAGTTAGTATTACGGTCAAATTTTATGTGGACTGTCTCTGCGATTGGTGTGATGGTTACGTTACAATTTACATGGAGTGGCAATCTTTCATCTGCCGAAGGGGTGAACGGGGAGGAAACGTCTTGGCAAAAGAATAAACTGTAAGGTAGACTCATCCTTCTGAAAAATTCGCTTTACGGTTGAGTTGCTTGCGGCAAGAGACACAAGGTATGGTTCTTTAAACGGCGTGTCGTTTAGTTTTGATTTTCAAATCCAATTTTGAGTTAAAATTTTCTTATTTGGTAACCAAGTTGCCGTGCCCAACAAGCAAGTTGACACCTTGTCAAACAACATGACATGCGTACTTGCATTAATTATTTACTACTCCTATGGTTCTGTTTATAAAATAGAGAGAAGATATTTTTTTGTCTTTTATAAGACACTGAGCGATTTTTTATGGATATACAATTTTACCCCTTATTTATTATTGTGTTGATTTTGTTTACATGAGGTACAATATATATATTAAATAGGAATAAAATCAGAAAGTTATTAAATTTTAAATAAGAGTTAATGAAATTTAAGGTTTTTCTTATCTGCATGAAACATGCTGGAAGTGTCTTATAAATAGATCAGAAGAGTATTATATTCTTCTCTATGTTTCATTGGTTGATCAAATGTTTAACTTATGTAAGATTCGGATTCTCACTATTTGAAATATAAAAAAATTTATCCGCAATATTTGTTGTTCAGTCTATTAAAATGATCTTCTTTTTTTTATTAAAGATAATATTTTAATTAATTTTAAATTAGAAATCAATCAAGCAGTCCCATTTCCTTGCTGAAGAGTTTTAATGCCAGTCACTAAGTTATAGGCACTTTTGTAGGGGTTATATTATTGATAAATTATACTACCTTCGCTCTTTAATATAAGAACTAATTGACTAATTTGAATAGACTAAGAAAGTTTGTTAAGTTAGTTATTTATAATAAATATATATTATCTGTTCTAAAATATCCTTACTAATTATATATATTTGTCAAAACTACTATTTGATGGAAAATTTAACATGTGTAACTACTACAAGAACTATTTTAAAAAAATGATTAAATATAAAAGATAAAATAGAAATCTTGTATTTAGAACCAAATTTAGAATCAAACTAGCTTTTATATTAAAAACAAGAGGTAGTACATTTCTATCAAATAAAAGTTTATAGATATTAATTAATTACCAATATCTTTATACGTAAAAGAAGCACAATATTAATTTCACCATAGTGATGTAAGAGAATACAGTTTTAAGATTGTTCACCTAAAACATAGATAGACACAAGGGGGGCGAAAGCCGCCCACACGCCCCGGACTATGTCCAAGCACAACAATCAAATGGTAGATATTTAGCGAGAATGTTATTTAGACTTCATAAGTAGCTTAAATAGATGAATTTGAAGCCCCATCCCCGTTGGCAGCAACTAACAGTAGCCGCCGTGTCTTCGTCAATCTGTTGAAAAAAAATGGTGCTTGATCTGGTCCGTCCACTGAATGACTGACAGTAAAGTGTAGTCCAAAACTTTCAGGAGCTCAATGCACACCCAATAAACAAAGAAAGAGTAACTTTTCTTATTGGACAAGAAGATTATACGCTTTGAAACTTGAATTAAATCAAAAGTAAACCCCCCACCTCAATTTGATATTTAAAAAAGGTGAAGCAGCATCATATGGTGTCCATGATGAATCTTTGAAGGTGACTTGTGTGGGTGGTGCCAATAACCCTCTTTTTCCTTACCAAAGCAACAAAGCAAAAGTCACCCTCTTGCATTTTTCCTTTTCTTCAACATATTTTGCCCTCTGCTGCTAAACTTTCCCCCTGTCTTGTGTTGAATTTTTGGTCTTTAGGGGCCCTACCATTTCCTTGATGGGAGGGCTAACCATTATTCTATCACTGTGGCTCTACATATTTTGTTGTCTCTGATCTTTTGTGATCATAGCCACAGAAATCAGTTACCACACCAAAACTCCAATGCGTGTGCCTAACTACATGCCATGCGACCCCCTCCATTTTAAAAAAGACCTAAACTTTATTCCATAAATGAAGCTTGTCTAGCACTAAAGGCGAACCAGTTGGTTAGAGGGTGAAAGGAACCTTAAGAGATGACCAAGAAGCAGCAGATCAAGTCTCTGATAGGGAAAGTGCAAGGCATGAGGCTTCTGTCTCTTGGGGGTTGCTTTGATAGCTGCAGAGACCATTCTCAAGCTTCTGGTCTGGGAACAAGGATATGGAATCTGAGTGATAGGCCATTGGAGCTGCAAATTAGGGTCGGGTCAATACTGAAGAAGGTTCACACGGTGAAGCCAGGATGCTCCAAGAGATTGAAATGCAAAAGCATATACAAGGCCTACATGCCTGGTATGAGCAGCAGTAATGGCGATGGAGGTGTGGTGGGGATTAAGAGCTTGCTCTATTACTATGACGAGACTTGCCATCCTTATATATGGATTTCAGACCAGGGGGCTGATTCTCTAAGAATGGTGAAGCAGCAATATGTTAGCCTAGAGGATCTGAGGGACTCTTCTGAGATCAGAATCTTCAGGGATCATCAGAGAGGTTGCATTTCTGTTCGCAAGAGACCAAGGCCTGATTTCTGCTGAATTCAGTTTATCATCATTAATCATTTTCAATGTTTGCGACCTGATTTGTATCCTCTCAGTTTCTGATGAGATCCTCTCGTTCTCTCTGCTTTGTTATCAGCGTGTGTAAGTACAGAATGCAACGATCTATTATATATATGACTGTTTAATTTCGCATTTGTTTCTGAATGGAGTGATGTTACAGATGCCAATTAACAAAGGAACAAAGTTTTAATGTTGTTTCATATAGCTCAATCTAAATAGATACTCTCCTGGTCCTAAATATAAGACATTGTACTAGTGTGTATAAGGGTCTTATATTTAGGACCGGAGGAGTATTTGTTAACTGAAAACTTCTCAAACTTGCCATTTATTCGATTTTCTTCATCGTATCAGAGATGAATTAGTTTCACTGTTTTATTTTTGTGTGGTTACCGACAGCAGAAGCAACCCATTGAGGCAGACACCACCACCCCCCCCCCCCCAAAAAAAAAACCACGAACGGACGTAAATTAATGAAAAGGAACTGTAAATTAATATATATACATATGACTATTAGTTTGGGATTTTGAATTTTTTTACGGAGATTGTAGTTATTTGATTCTCCCTTGTTTTTGTTTGTTTTTATGTGTATTCATGAAGTGTTGTGGGTGGCCGCGATGATGAATGATATTTTAAAGTGCGTTTACTGGGGTAACAAGGATTACGGAGCCTGAGGAGAGAAATCATGAGGGGACGACATAAGTTGACACCGACGTCGCACAACATAATGATGGCGTAAACAACATAATAGCAGTCATATATATATATTAGATTATTGTACGGCGTAATCATTCCGGCGACATTGCTCGATGACTAGTTTATCAAAATCCCGGGGAGTAGCCAATTGGGCTGGGGCTCCGGGTCGAAGCCCAATGAGCCCAGACCTGATTGAACCAATCAAACTCGCATGCCTAAAGCTTCATCTTTTCCTTCACCCATGACCGTCCAAATCAGACGGTGATGCCTCTGTAGATGAGAAACCTTATGCAAACCCACTAAAGCCCAGAAGTGCTTGCACCTGCATGCTTAAACATCCTTGTTTTCCCTCACGCATGACTGTCGTTTTACACCGTATTGAGTTCATTTTCAGCTCCCATTGTTCTGCCAAGTCCAATTGCATGGTTTTCAGGAAGTGAACTATATCTTGGTTTTGTCTTTATGGTACAGGTGAATGGTGATGTGTGTCTTCTTAGTTTTGTCCAGGTGACACTTTACAGAAGTTCACTCGTCAAGCGTTTGCAGTATATAAAGGGAAAAGGGGCCACCTTGTTTGACTACTTAAACCTTCCTTGTGCATCTTGGCTGTACGGATTCCTTCCCGATAAAAACTTGAACATATCAATCCGCAGTAGAATGTGTACAATATGCTCTTCCTTTATGCTACTTATACCTTTTCGGGTTAAAAAATATACACAGCCACCTTGGCTGGAACACTGGGTTTACTCTGACAAATAATGCGACTCATAAAGAGAAAAGACCAGATTCTAAATGTTTTCTTTTGTGTTCCCCCCTCTTCCTTTTTCTTCTTTCTGCTCCTGCTTAAAAAAAAAAAAAGCAAGCGGTTGGATTGGCGCTTATATTTCACTACAAGGTAGCTTCGCTGTTGGTCAAATTTTGTGGATTTCTTTTCTTCCTTTTGTTTTCGCCTCATTCATCACACATGCTTTTGCCCACAACATGACTGGCCATGCTGGTCGCAAAAGCAGGAGAAAGGTTGAAACCCAGAAAACTGGGCAAGGTAGCAACACGGTCCCCTACTTCATAGAACCATGCAAAATTCAAGACACCGACTCATTTCTTTCTGGGGGGTGACCAAATGAAGGATTTGGAGTCGTATGATTATTATGTCTTGGTTTGCGACGCACAACAGGTGTGGGACAACGACGAAGCTAAGGTTGTAGTAATTAACTGGGTTGGATTACCAATTGAGTGCTCATAGCAGTTCCCTGCCTGTCTGGTAAGGACTCTAAATAACAACAAACGTTTGAGTATAAAAGTCAAAACGGAGGCTCTAAAACCAATCTCACTCTTCGTGACTCGTGACTGTCACGTATCGTCATCAATATATTGGGAAAAAGTTTCTTTTGTTTTGTTAAATATAAAGTCAGTTAAATAATCATTTATTGTTTTTTTCCTCTAATTTCATATTTTTATACAATTAAATTTTATAAACAACTGATTTGTTATGATCAATATGAAACTAATTTCTGGCGATGGCATATATGTAACTCAAATCTTATGAATAAGATGGAACTGATAATGTCTTGCCTTTAAAAGAAAAAAGAAAAAGAAGAAGACGGAACTGATAATGTGAATAAGGTGACTGGCATGAGGAGAGAATAGCACGTACTGGTACTATTCTGAGAGAAGGCCATGGAACCCAATAAATGAGAGTAATAATTGCATCCCTCAATTCGGAAATTTAGAATCTGACACTCTTCATTCACTTACCCTCCTCCTCTTCATTGTCATCGTCTCTTCCACATGCCCCCTCCAAAAAAAGGGTCTATTTTATTATTTTATTTCCTTTATAAACTCTTAACTTTCTCACTTATAACTTCAATGATCTTGTTGCTTCTAGTGTGTTCTTTTTACATTAAAAAAATTAACATGAAATATAAAATGAATATTAAAAGGGTTCACAGTTGAAAATAAATATCACAGTAAATTAGTAGTTTGTTATTCGAAAGAAGAGGAACCCAAACGCAATTCATTCACTCCTTCTGATTTTATTATTAAAGGTCAAACGTGAATTTTACTTTCATATATTTTTAATTTTCGTTCATCTTTTATTTATATGGGGTCTTTTATTTAATATTTGTACTACACATAAATTTTGTAAGTGATTTTAAAATAATAATAATTTTAAAATAAAAATAATATTTAAATATTCATATCATTTATTAAATTATATTTAATAAAATTATTATTAAATATAATAATTATGAAAATGTAAACAACTTTATTAACTTCATGTCCTTTTAGTAATTATACACCCATAAGTGATTTTAATAAATAAAAACCAAACATAATCACAATTCTTAAAATCACTTATAAAAAAAAATATCCAAACAGAAATCACGATTAACCAGTATCACTTATAGCCAGTATCACTTATAAAATTCACGATTATCTAAAATCACAGTTGTTCACCGCTAATCCAAACGGGCACACAATATTAAAGGTCAAATGGATGCCCAATATGCATTTTAATGCGAGAAAAACTGTAAGATGTGAAATAAAAAGGTAAATTTCTTGACACGCCAGACAGGGTGTCGCAAACCGATTTAAAAAATGAGTTTAGATTAACTGAGTTAAAATAATCTTATATTATACATAAATTAAGTATGTGAAAATAATCTTACCTTGTAAAACGCAAAAATGTTTTTAACTAATGATGGAAGCCTGCACAATGCTTCACAATAAATAAAGGCATCAGACATAAAGGGACCGCTTAGAACGCCATTCTCTGTCTCTCTCTCTCCCCCTCTCCCTCTCTCCGAAACAGATAATTCAGAAGCAGCCAGAGAGGTTTAATTTTAATGTCTACCCACCATCCCTGAACAGAGACCCCCCCCTCACTCTCGCCTCTCTCTCTCTCTCTTCCCCCACTTCTGCTAGGAAGGCCCATTCTCATCTGTCATTTCCCCCGTGTTTGGTTCGAAAACCGGTTTCAGATATTGCTAGAGCAAGAAGAAGCTCACTTAGCTTGTTGTGTGTTGTCCTCTCTGGGTTTTTCCTGTCCTTTTTTGCTCAGATCTGTTACCTCCCTCTTCGCCTTTTCCCTCATTCCTTCAATTTTGGGGGCTTCAACCATGAGTAAAGAAGAGTTCTTGAAGATACAGGTGCTTCCTCTATCCCTTTCCCCGCATTTTTTCAGGGCCTCTGCTTTGTCATCTGAGTAATCAATGACTCTGAAGCTTTTCTATTTCGTAATTTTAGTTTTTCTCCCGTCTTGTTGCACATTTCTGATGAAGTAACCAGCTTTATTCTATTACATAGTTTTATTTACTCACAATGAATCTATTTTTTTCCCCTCCTTTTTTCTTTTCCTTTTTGGTCCATTCTGTCTTGGATACGGGAATTGCTTGCGCATGCAGAAATCTGTTCTTAAGGTGAACATACACTGCGATGGATGTAAGCACAAAGTGAAGAAAATCTTGCAGAAAATCGACGGTACCTACATTGGCATATACTTGTAGAAATTATGTCTGGAAAAAAAAATCTCTCGTTTTTCTAGACGAATCTTAAAAGTGAATATTGTGGTTGACAGGGGTGTTTACGACGGAGATAGATGCGGAACAGGGGAAGGTGACGGTGTCTGGGAATGTGGACCCCAACGTTCTCATCAAGAAGCTAACGAAATCAGGGAAGCATGCAGAGCTCTGGGGTGCTCCCAAATCAAACAATAACAACCAGAACCAGAATCACATCCCTAAGCAGTCAAAGAACATGCAAATCGACAATGGCAAAGGCGGTGGGAATAACAAGGGCCAGAAAGGTGGTAACAACCAGCCCAAGGGCAAGGGCAAGGGCGGGGGCGGTGGCGGTGGAGGCCCGCAAGGAGGACTGAATCCTCAACAGCTCCAACAGCTCCAGCAGATGCAGCAGCTTCGAAGTCTTCAAGATCTGAAATTTCCTCAATTCAAACTACCTCCAGGCCAGAACCCAAACCAGAACCAAAAAACTCTCAAGTTCGACGTGCCGGAGGATGACGACGATTACAGCGACGACGAGCTGGATGATGAGTTTGATGACGATGATTTGGATGACGACGAGTTTGACGATGATGAACTGGAGGGAGCTCCACTGCCCCTGAACAAGATGAATCCTGATATGGGGAACGGCGCTCCCATGATGCTCAACGGCATGAATATGATGAATCCCCAGAAGAGTGGGAATGCCATGAATATGAATCCTCAGAAGATTGGGAATGCCATGAATATGATGAATCCTCAGAAGGGTGGGAACGCCATGAATATGATGAATCCTCAGAATATGATGAATCCTCAGAACGGTGGGAATGCCATGCATATGATGAACCCTCAGAAGGGGGGCAATGCCGTGCATATGATGAACCCTCAGAAGGGGGGCAAT